TCAGGGACAAAATGGGCTTGTTACTGGCCTCCTCCAGCCATGTCCCTCTGTCCAAGTTTTCAAGTTTTGGCCTGTGCTGGGCGCAGTACTCACCATAGGCCGCGTCCCACCAAAACCTCAACCCACCGGGTGTTACCATGAGCATCTCACCCCATGGATGGGGAAGCTGAGGCTTCTGGGAAAGTCATCTCCCCGTGAGTGTCAGAGATGGGATTTAAATCTGGGTCGCTCTGCCTCCAGAGATCGTCCCCAACCTGCTGCTGGGCAGCCTCCAAGACGGCTAGGGTGAGTCCCACCTCCTGCTGTCACACTTCCAATAAGAACAGGGAAGAGGGAACAAGGTATCATTTCCAAGGTGAAGCTGCACAAAGCCGGTGGCTTCTGTCTTGTGTGCACTGTCACTTGCTCTTCCTCGGAGCCCTCCGTGGGGACAAGCTGCCATCATGGGAGGATATCCAGCAGCTAAAGAGAAACTGAGGCCCTCAACCCCATGCCCAGGAGGAAGACTCTTGCCGCCTGGGTAGAGCTCGGAGGAGATTGTCCCCTGCCAGCCCTTGAGCTGACAACAGGCCCAGGGTCATCTTGATGGCAGCCTGTGAGAGTCTGTGAGCGAGGCCACACTTGGATTCCTGGCCCACAGAAACTGTGATTTAATAAGTCCTTCTCGTTTTCAGGCATTAAGTTTTGGAGCAATTTGATATGCAGCAATAGGTAACCAATACACTTCCTTTTAGTACTAGCAACACACACAACATATCCACACAGCCACCAAGAGGAAGGGTGTAAAAAGTAACGGGTGGAGCTAGAAGAGTCACCCTCACACTCCCAAACCAGCCCTTCGCTCTGCTTTTGCCAGTGAAATACTTGAGGCTGAGACAGAAAGTACCCCCTCCAGGGTGACATACCCGCCTAGGGGTTGTGGGTGCCCGCATTGCAGCTGAAGCCCCCAGACTCCCGGAAGTCACGCCTGGAGTTCACAGGCCTGTCAGAAAACAGCGCATCCTTCACCAGGACCAAAGGTTGCTGCCTTGCCTTAGCTGGGGGGGTCTGCAGCCAGTGTAGTCACAGGGCCAGAAGATCACAGTAAAATGCCTTCTATGAGTATGAAAAACACAGCCAAGAAGAAAATACCTGAGCAATTCCAGCAGGCTCAAATATCCAACTTCAAGCAGATGCCAAATAGAGTAGGATCTCTTAATGTGATGTTTCTGGGTTTTGTTCCTTAAGCCAAATATACCTGGGGTTTTCTTCTGTGATTTAAAGGAAGCTCCCCTGGGAAGGAGGGGGCCATTGTGAATGGGACTTCATTGACCCCTGTGTCTCTGTGTTTACTTTAGTGGCATCCTGTCAGCCGGAGCTCAAAGTCAGGGGACACCTCTGCCCATCCTTCTCTGTCCCTCATCCCACACCCCAACTTCCCACTGTGGCCTGTGCTCTTTAAACTGAGTTGCCATGAGGACTGGCGGGGGATAGTTCCTGCTGCCTGTCCCTACTTCCTGCTGCTGCGGAGACCTGGCGTGTATGCCCTGGAGAAGGACAGAGTCACCCAAGCCCCGGCCCAGTGGTCTCCATCAGCTGCCAGCAGGTGTTCTCGTGTGAGAGTCCCAATGCAGCACAAAGGGCCCGGCCCCCAGCTTAATAAATACGAATTTCAAGGCGACAACAGCAAAGCATGAAGCCCAAGCACAGGGCGTGTCTGAGCGCAGGACTCACTGTGATTTCACAGCTCAAACACCTAGCAACTGGGCCTGCTGTGGACTCTCCACTGAGACCCAGCCTGGGTTACCTTCGGATGGGACCTGCCCAAGCAGGAAGGGGCTGTCAGCTCTGGACTCCTGCGGGGACAGGGAGCGGTGACAGCCACCTGGGGAGGCCTGGGCAGTCAGAGAACCCAGGAAAGCTGGGATGGCGGCCCTGATCCTCAGCATGGGGAACACAGGCACACACAGAGCCAGGGCACCTTGCTGAGTAACGGAAGCGGAAGTTCTCCGGGGCTGTGGCCTTGTGAACTGGGTCAGATGTGTGTAGACTCCTTTGAGGGTGCAGAGGGACCTGTAAAGGTAGCAGGAGGATGAGGGTGGCAGCTGACGGCTGGACAGACACTTCTAGATATGCCCACTTTGTTGGTCTTCCTTCTGTCTTTTTTTTTTTGGTCTTTTTGAGACAGGGTCTCACTATGCAGTTCAGACTGGCCTTGAGCTCACTTTGTAGCCCAGGCTGGTCTTGAACTCACAACGATCCTCTTGCCTCAGCCTCCCAAGTGCTGGGATTACAGACATGCGCCACCACGCCCGGCTCTGATCTTCCTTCTCCTTTTCTTTCTTTTCCCCTTCTTAAAGTTCATAGAGTTGTCAACCTTCCCAACTTAGATTTCCCATAAAAAGCCATATTCCTGGTAGCTACAAAAAGAAAACAGGGCCGGGGATATAGCTCCGCGGCGCAAGCGCCTACCTGGCAAAAGATGATACTGAGTTTGATTCTGGTACCAGAAAAAAAAAAAAAAAGAACATTTGGAAACACTAGCTCCCCGTTCCTGTGACACCCGCTGCCTCCTCTGTGGGGGTTGACTTTGCCACAGCCCCCACCGCTCCCTAAGTCCCCAATACTGAACCCAAGTTCAACCAGTGTTCCACAGGCTGCCTTTGGCCTCTCCCTGGAGTTTAGGGGAAAGGTCATGTGTCTACCAAGAGTGGGGAACGAAGAGTTCCATACATGTCAAGAAATGTGGGGTGAACGTGTTTGTGGCTGTGAGAAGCTGTCCTAAGTGTTTAACATGCAAAGGGCCAGGAAGTCAAAGGAATACCCGCAGAGACAGCACAGCGGTCCCTGCACAGCCCACCTCCATCATCCCTGCCCCTGGGTGGGTCCCCGAAGGCATCTCAGATGGACTCCAGGACCGGATGTGTCTGGGATCTGGGTCTCCAGATGTCTCCAGGATCCAGGTCTGGTGGGGATGATCCCAGCCTGCAGGCTGACCTTTCACTTGCTTGGTTCTGCCTCTCACTCTAGAAAAGGCAGAGGACTCGGGGATTCCCAGCACCTCCTGTCGCCAGACGTGTGGTCAGTTTCCTTTTTCCAGGTGGTGTGGGTATTTCACCCTGGGTCTTTTCTTCCACCGTGGAGGGCCCTCGGCATTTCTCACGCCTTCGTGCCCTCCACCAAGCGTACCCAGGGCTCCCAGTCAGGCAGGGAGAGGGGGTGCAGTTTCGCAGCCACTGGGATGGTGAGGAGGACGCAGGGGTGGAAGCTGGGATGGCCATGGCGGGTGGCGGCCGGGCCACCGTGGCCGTGGGCTGGCGGGGCTTCCCGCCCACCTTCGGACTTGGGGGAAAGTAATTTGGTTCCCACAGCTTGTTGAGAGCCATGTGCCAGCCATGTGCCAGCCATGTGCCAGATTCCCATAGCTCAGGCCTGGGCCAGTGGGAGCCCCGGATTCCTGCATGAGCCCTGGGCAGGGTGAGGTGCATGCGGCGAGAGGGGGCCCTGGAGACTCACTGAGCGTGTGTGGCTCTCACCCAGCTGAGTAGCCTTGGCTCCCCCATGTCTACAATAGGAGGAAACCAGACCTGCCTCCTGGGGCTGTGGGGAGATAATTAGTCCTTCTAAAGAGCATCGTAATCCCCAGATCAAAGGGGCCCTGGAGCTGCAGCGCACTTTACAGGACACTGCCAGCCACTGGAACACTCACTTTGGGGGCGGTGGGTACAAAATTGCAGACCTCCAAGGTGCCTTGTCCTGCCTGCATAGTCACCTGGTAACACCCCCCCACACACACACACACACACACTACAGGTCCAGGGCCTGGCCTCCCCTAGGAAGCAGGGAGTTCACATGTAGACCCACTGATGGACAGAGCAGGAATTACTGTTGTCCCACTTTACAGATGGGAAAGTCGAAGCTCGGGAAGTGAGGTACGGTCACAGGGTTTCCCACCTGATCACAGCGCCCTCGGGGTTGCAGGTGCACAACGAGTCTAGTCACCTTAGGAGTGGCAGGTCACAGAGCGAAGAAGCGGAGGAACTGTTCCAGGGCGCGACCCTCTCCCTACCGGCTCCTTCCGCCCTCTGCTGGCCGGCTCTGCCAGATCCAGGGCCGCCCCAGTGGTACCCGAAGAGCAGACTTTGCACGCTGGCTTGCCAGGCAGGGGCCTGCAGCCTTTCCCTGATCACACTCACTTGGGACTTTCCAGGACTTGGGCTCCCGGCCTGACACTCTGGACTCCGGGCGACTTCCTTGTTGACCCTCGGTTTTTCCAAGAAAGTCCGCGTCGGGGTCGCTGCGAACGGCTGGGGCTCTGCGGGTGCTCGGGCTCCTCGGGGCGCCTGGGGGCGGGGCCCGGTAAGGGGCGGGGCGAGCGGCGGGCCTCGCCGCCCGGAAGGAGCGGGAGGAGGAGCCGCGGACCCGGAGTCGCTCCCACGTGAGAGGCTCCGCGGCCGGATTCCTCGCGTGCAGTGGCCGCGGACGGCCGGGCGCC